CTCTATATATATATATATATATATATATATATATATATATATATATAATTGTATATATATAATTACATGCACAAATAATCTCTAAATGGGAATTATAATTTCCATGGTTGCAATTATCTAATCATGAAGAGGGGATGTGAACTAAACATGTCAGACTCGAGATTGATCCTTTATCTTTAAACCTGTATTTTCTGTTCATAAATGTTGATAATTGGCTCAGACTATTTCTGTCTGAAATTAATAAAAAAAAAGATCTGCCACTAGAACAATGAAATATGACTTGACGAGATTTCTGAAAATAAGAAAAAAAAATACTAGCCCCAATCTAGCTGAAATTTCTTCAATAATAGCTTAAAATACTTTTTATACGACAGACGGTTTCTTTTCTGTAGCTAAACAAGAAAAGTCGTCTGGAAAGAAGAAAAGATACTTCAAGCTTTAAAACTCACTGCTCAGACTTTTGCTCTGATAAGATTATGAAGTATTATTATAGGTAAAGACAAAGGTGCACCGTACAGCAATCCATCCTCTGCATTTGACCCATCCTGATGCCCTAAGGCTCACGTCAGGAGCAGCGGTCGCCGTAGTAACAGCGCCCGGGAACCCACCTCCAGATGTTGATGCCCTTGGTCAGGACCAGAGCTGGAGGATTTGACTTAGTGAGCATGTTTTTAGTGGTAGGGGAAACCGGAGTACCCGGAGGAAACCTACGCAAGCACGGGGAGAACATGCAAACTCCACTCAAAATGGCCCTTTTACGATCGGCATTCGAACCCAGGACCTTCTGGCTGAGAAGCGGGAGTGCTATCTACCCACCCACTCGCCCAATCGTAAAACTAGTCAAATAATGTTACAAGAAAAATTACATTCAAGAAGAAAAAACTTCAATCAATCTCAACTGTCTTTTCGTCTCGTTAACAGAACCTTTATGGAACTATCTTTCCTTCTCCCGCCTCTAAATGCGTGAGCGACTGTGACATCCACCGTGTGCTTTAATCCTGCGCTGAAGGACGCTCCTCTTCCTCTCTCTGTCAGCCATGTTTTTTAATCTAATCCTGACAATTGTCCTGGGCTGCTTCCTCCTGATGAGTAACACCACGAGGCGCTCGATTTAACTAAACACTTGTGCACCGCCATCAGGGAGACTCTCAGAAAGATGAGTTTTTAAATAGAAGTTGGTTTGAAACGACGTGAGAGATTTGGAGGTGGTCCGTGGGGGGCGTGTTTCTTTCATTGTTCTATATTAAAGTGATAGATCTCGGAGGTCATATATTTGTGTTAAGTCTCGTGGCGGCGGCGCTTCAGTGAGATTTAGACTGGGTTTAATTGAAAAGGAGCTAAAGGTTGTAGAACTGGTCCCGACAGGCGGTAAAGCAGCGAGGGCCCGAGATCATCTGGATATTCTGGTCGTTAGAACTGGGTCGTTTCATGGAACGGTTTTCTCCTTTAACGTGATTCACTGAACATCAATGAGTACAATGTCTATGTACACTGCAGAACATGACAAACAATATGGTCAGAAATGCTCAAAGTCATTTTTAGAGAATCAGAGAATCAACAGTTAATTAGAACACATGTTGATAAATGTCATACATGCTTCTCACTTCCTCCTCCGTCGAGCAAAGACGTGTCTCAGACGCTCCTGCTTCTGACTGCTGCTATCTCCTGTTTTTGTCTTTTTTCCTGGAGTTTTGCCACAGACAACTTTAACAGAATGGAAATGATTAACTGGTCCCTCAACGCAATTGATTCTATCTTTTCAACACGTAAGCGTGGGTCTGGAGAGCCCGAGTGTCCGGACGGGACCTCACCAGCGGGGTACACTCTTGACAGCTGGAACAAGTTTCAGCCCCTCTGTCTGTCGGTCCTGTCTATTGAAGATTCGGAAGACGTATATATCTTTGGCATTTTGGTGGTGGGGATCCTCCTGTTTGGGTTTGGAGCGATCCTCTTCTACCATAAATTCGGAGGCATGGCAGTTCGCAAGATTCACGACCTGCTGGCCGACAAAATTGATGGGATGTACAAGGAGCTTAGCCGCGTCGTGGTTGAGAGTGCCGTGTCTGGACAAAGGAGAGTGGTGTTGGTGGAACAGTTGATTAAAGATCTCGCAGCTCGTTCACTCGATGGGCATAAAACTCTGGAATTGAGATTGAATGACATTGTTTGTCAGGCTTGAACTCTCTGACCCGGCTTGGATTTGCCCCTGTGTACGGGGTCTGAGGGCGCCGCAATTCGGTTTAATTGGATTTAATAGAATATCTGCCTGCTTTTGATGCTACATTGCATTTAATATTGTCCCTCTCAGGCGATTTGTGTTTCTCCTGCTGTGTCTTCTCTCCACTCTTATCTCACATTCCTCGTCCAAGGCCATAAACAAGGTCCCACAATCTACAACAACTCACACTATTTCAGTCTCCAGCAAGGATCCCTCACCCCCGCCTCCCTCTACCTATCCATCTTGCTCCCTCCCTCCCCTCCATTCCTTATTGTTTTCCTACTCACCCCCTCCCTGATCCCGCCCCCCTCTGACAGCTACATTGGGCCGGCCGCCGGAGGTGCTCATCCCGAGAAAAAAATCCGTGGTTTATAAAAAGCACAATGTGTCTATCCAATTCGGGCGTTCTGCTCTCCCAAAATTCCATCCGATGGGCGGGGGAGCGACTGAATTTTGCGTTGCATTATGGGTAACACTTGCCTTCGCAACTTCCAGTTCTCTCTGCCCGGCGCATTTTCTCTAAATGGTTGAGTGTTTTCGTCATTTTCTGTATGCAAATACATTCCCGTCTCTAACTAGTGGCATATCGCGCAAATCATCCGTCCAATTCACATTCTTCCCTCTTAGCTGAACTTCATTCTCATTGTTACCATCTGTCACTCGCACACACAGCCGTTTTCGTTCACTCTGCTCGCTGTCATCTTCTTCTAAATCTTCATAAACACCATCCGCTCGTTGAACTAGCAACAACAATTCCTCCTTTCGTTTTCCCACACTGCAAATACCCTTTCGCTTCAACCTTTCACGCAATTCAGGCACTGTCAATCGCTTGTTGTTTTCGTGAGCCATATTTGCCATTGTATGAAATCAACCGGAAGTGAACTGGGCAACAAACTGTGTCATCTTTTGATCACAGCGCCGCTCAGTGGATGGAATTTTGGGAGAGCAGAACGCCCGAATTGTCTGTGAACTGTATGTTATTGCTCTCTGCTGTTTCTTGCTGCACACAGCGCCGCAAATGGCGAAGTGGCACGCTCTCTGCCAAGACAATTTCCAAGTGATAACTTTGTTACTCACGTGGCAATAAAAATGATTCTGATTCTGATTCTGACATGTTGTAGAATGCTAAAGTGTCCTGATCATCACCAATCCTTTCTGTTGGACACTAACTGTCCAACAAGACCCTCCTGCATCGACAAGGGAAAACTCTTAAAAAACCCAGTGGGAAAAAGTGAGAAACCTCGGGGAGACCCACATGTTGAGAAAGGGATCCGCTCCCACGGACAAACTTATTTTATCCAAACAAGACAAGTCTGGAAATAAGAAAAAATACTTAAAACATGCTTTAAAAACCCATTTCTTTTTCAATAATAAGATTGAGGTATTATCTTAATATCTCAAAACAATCTCAAGCATAATTTATATTATTTCTAGTAGATGAATCTTACCAAATTTTCTGTGTGTGAAATAAGTCTAAACGGCTTTGTCCCATCGGTAAATCTTGTTTTAAGACAGTTAGAATGTACTCAGATACAGAAAACCCTTGATTGAAGCATTTATTACCTTATATTTTGTCATGTTTTTGCAGTGTAACCACTTCGACATGGAAGAGCGGGACCAGAGGAAGAAGAGAGCTCTGGACCTGGTCTCAGCTCTGGACCTGGTCTCAGCTCTGGACCTGGTCTCAGCTCTGGACCTGGTCTCAGCTCTGGACCTAGTCTCAGCTCTGGACCTGGTCTCAGCTCTGGACCTGGTCTCAGCTCTGGACCTGGTCTCAGCTCTGGACCTGGTCTCAGCTCTGGACCTAGTCTCAGCTCTGGACCTGGTCTCAGCTCTGGACCTGGTCTCAGCTCTGGACCTGGTCTCAGCTCTGGACTTGGTCTCAGTAGTCCAAAGTAGTTACCATATTCAGGTTGCTATGACAACTTCTTTCAATGCTCGAGGCTAAAAGCACAATATTTCCCGTTCTAAAGCTGGGCTACCCAACTTTCAAACTACAAACAAGTTAAATGAATCCTAACTTTCAAAACAGCTTTGTTCGATCACTAGTTTTTACATAGGTGTAATTTTGTCTTTAGAATATATTTTTTTGGATGGATAAGTGAAACAGAGAGGACCCGATACTCATCTCTCATCCCAGAGGTTGCTCACGGGGGTTTTTCTTACGAGTTTTGGCAAAAAGATAAAACGTCTCCCATCACAGTGCTAACCAGGCCCTGCCCTGCTTAGCTTGGCTTTCACAAATATACAGACTATACCGTTTTTGCAATGTTCACCATCTACCAACTGTCACAGGCTTCAAACAGTAATTACCAAAATGCAACAAAGAAAGTCTCAAACGTCTTCCGAGAATCACCATTTGACTTCTTAGTGAAACAGTGAATTGGGGCGTACACGTGTCTACTCTACCAACCCCCGTGGCGTTTTTTGCCGCCGTGTTCTGAGACGCAAACCCATCTCCGAGGTCATATTTCTGTGCCATTGCTCTCTCCCGACAGCTGTACCCGGAGTTTCCCCACAGAGCACGATTGAAAAGCAGCAAAAAAACTGCGTGGTATTGTCCCCTCGCTGAGCTCAATCTAAATCGAGCTGCGCCACCGAGGATTTGAGACCGCTGCAAACGCCACGGCTCCGGTTTGACATTCTTCCAGGAAAAGAAAAGACTGCTAAATGCGTCCTCCCACAAGAAAGGCACAGAATGGAGCAGTGAGTTTTATCTAAAAGCGTTAGTCCCGGGTGCAGTCATTGTGGGAGCGAGTGGGGAGCTGTCCGTGGTCCTGAATTAGCCCGGAGCAGCGGTTAGCGGATAGCAGCGAGGCCCAGGGCTCTCCGTCACTGTCGGTGGGTCTTCTCTCCTCGGCTTCACCTGTACCCCAGCTGTGTGTCTGTGGCCGCCTGCTGCTAGAGGCGCTCCAGGCTCAAGAGCACCTGAGGAGAGAAAAATGTGAAAGGGTTGTTTTATATGTTTGGGTCCTAAAGTCAAACTCAACAACTTTTTCTCACTGCAGGGTCAAGTTTGTGTACAGTGGCAGGAGAAATGCACTCACAGAGCTGATGTGGGACAACCAAAGAATTGCCAAAAGTGCTATTTAACTCACTGACTGCCAGGCATTTTCAGATTTGAGAAGTGCGTTCTGCCAGCAATTTCAGGTGATTTGACCCAACTTTGAAGTGCCACAGAATATTCATTTTTTAGACGATGTAAACACAAAGGGCACCAAATTAAAGATTAACCTCTCTGCTTTACTCTGAAAAAAACAGTTTGTTTCTACCTCTTACTGTTCTTGCGTTATTCGCCATAGAACAAAGCATACTTTCACCCATAACACCTGGTCTGAGCAAGAAAACAGAGAAAAGGAGCTGTATGTAAACAGGAACATATCAAGCAGAAAAGAGACTTTTAGATGCATTTGTGCTGCTTTAGTGACAACTCAAAACATCTTCACACTTGTTCCATTACAAAAATTATAAAAACATGACTCTGAAATAATACTTTTGATGGCAAATTGTTGGAAATTTATTCACAGATAGAAAATTTAACTTTCTTCTATACCATCAACCAAAACGTCAAACAACAACAACACAAAGATCAATAAAACTATAGATGTATAAAATAGAATGAAGCATGTGAATTTGAGTGTGTGTGTGTGAATGTCAGTGTGCGAGTGAGTGTCTGTGTGCGTGAGTGAGTGCGTGTGTGTGTTCGTGTGTGTGTGCGTGTGTGTGTTCGTTAGTGTGTGTATGAGTGAGTTTATCTGCTTTTTCAGTCCTCCCAGTAGTTCAGCTTTGAGTTGTAGAGGTTGAAACACTGTGTGCAACGGAACACGACACGCTGTGTACCATTTGTAGTTCTCCCTCCGTGAAGAAGAGCTCCAGAAAGTCTGGATCAGATGAATCCAGCTCCAGAAAGTCTGGATCAAATGAATCCAGCTCCAGAAAGTCTGGATCAGATTAATCCAGCTTCGCAGCCTCTGTCCGCAATCTCTGAGGTCCAGGAGCTCCTGTGAAGGGACTGACTCGGCTCCCACTGATCCTCCTGTCAGCCATCCTCCCCAGAGCTTCTGGGTGACGAACGTGCTGGAAAATGGATACACACAATAACTATATTATACAGTGAATTTGTTACAATAAATCAATACATAAAATACAATGAAGGCCATCCTCCCACATTATTGACTGACTATTTTTGGACCAAACAAGTATACTATATTATTATTATATTATATTGCCATGGGATGTACAAGAATAGAAATAGTTCTTTTACCTTTTTTGTGCACAGCAACTGCCTCTTGATGCACCACCTGTAAATAATATAAATTTGTAAATCACTATACCAGGAGAATATATACAATAATATGTACAATGGTATGAGGAGGAATCATCTTTACCTCTGCTCCTTGCCCTGTCAACCCCAATGGGGGAGGGCTCTTTTATCAGAATCTGTGAATGAAGAACACATTTCATTTAGTCAGAGCTATGACACTGCAACAAGATGTTCAAGTATGAAATAACTAAACATAACAATAATAAATACAACAATGATAAAACGCATAACTGGCATTTACTAAAGAAACAGTAGGATTTGAGCGCTGTGTTACTTTGCAGATCAGAGCAAGTTTCTGCGCCTTTCCCTCCTCTCAAGTTAGCATATTCTTGGCAATTTAGCAAGTTCTTACCTTTGACTCTTTGTGGAGCTTCTGGAGAGGATGCTCTGCTGGATTGAGACTGCAACCACTCATCCGATAAATCATGATCAGGTTCTCTGAACGAATCCGAGGCATCAGTAACAGCAGCAGCTGATACGCTGCGAGAGGCGGAAGGTGTGTCCCTGCTCCGGGCTCTGGGCTGCAGAGACGGACCTCCACCGGGGTCTCCACTCTCTCCCCTCTCGACCTCACTCACTGATCCGCGAGTCAATCTCTGAAGCAGTGTTAACTGCTTATAACTATTCTTTTTCGCCATCACTCTTGCTATACTATCGCTAAACTAGATAGCTGATCCGTCTCAATGCTACGCTATCATCGCTCTGCTACAGCAGCACGCTCTCCAAACACTCCCACACTCCTCCTCCTTCTCTCCAATGACTTATGACTTCTCCTGTGGTGCAATACTGCATCCTACTGGTGTTGATTTATCATTACAGGTACATTTGCACTATATATCAGTATTGTGGGTCATTTACAAGGTGCGCCAGACATTACTGCAGCCTCCCGTGTAATAACACGAAAAACTCGTCAAACTCGTCATGGGCAGTGAGCGTTACTATTCAACATGACGACTTTTGTCGTCATGGGCAGTGAATGAGTTAAAGTACCAGCTATATGGAGATATTTACAACTAAATATCTATCGCATGAGAATATACAGTATTTTACACTTGCTTCTTTATTATGCTAAAGTCAGAGATTTATTCTTTACTATTGCCTCTTTATTATGGTAAAGTTGGAGATTTTGGATGTATTCTCATTGCTACAAAGACTTCCTCCAATGCCAATAAAAAAACCTTTCGAGCAATACCAATGACACTGGGCCTCTTTATATGGCACCAACCCAGATCTATCAACTTGTCCTTTGCTTTCAAAACCTTTCGGTTCCATCACTAGTTTTTATCCAATCCAATCCAATCCACTTTATTTCTATAGCACATTTAAACAACAGAACAGTTCCAAAGTGCTGCACAAAAAAGTACACAAAAAATAGAATAAAAAATAAATCAATAAATAATTGATTTTTTTTACATAAATCCCTTTTGGTGAAACAGCTGGGTCAAGTTTGTTTACAGTGGCTTGCAAACAGTACTAATATATCTTGAACTATTGTGGTGTAATAAAGAATTGCAGAATATACATATAGATATTCTGGAAATTATCCACCAGATCACTTGTATATTCATCTAATTCCATTCTATAAACTCACTTTTTCTCTCAATCATCTCCCGTCGAAAACAAACCGTGTCCCGAGGCGTCCATTAAGATTTACTCTGGTGCTCCGGCTCTAAACGCCCCCTGGAGGCCACACGGCGACGCTTCAGCTCCAGTTTGTTGACAGCCCGAGACGACGGAGAGATGCGTTCACAAACCCGGGGAGGTCCTATTTTGTTTACTTAACAACAAAGCTCATCATTTATGAATGGATTCATGTTTTGGACTGGTGCGCTGGGGAAGGCGGGCGGCCAGGGACGTGCCAGACCCACATCAAATATTTAAGTCGTGTTTACTCGATTATTGCTGTTTGCGAGAGTCAAGGACGGACATTTCTCGATCCAATCTCCTTTTGCATATTTGTAGGAAACGATCAGACCTCTGTTGTAATCCAGAGCCAGAAGAATCAATATATCTCCCCAAAATGTACAACTTTATTATTGCTAAACCAAGTTCGACGCAAGTATCATTCATTGGAACCTGTTTTATTTTTTATTTAAGGACATTAAAAAGACAGACAGACAGAAAGAGAAAGACACCAAAGCACACAACTTTCACACCTAAAAGCAAAACTAAAAATTGTTGATGTTACCTTATAGTTTACTCTGGTTGCCATAGCAGCACTGAAAGATTGACAGCTTATTGGGGGACTTGATTTTCCTTTGAACCATCAAACTATCGTAGAAATGGTCAAATCTTGTACATAATCAATTCAATTCAATGCATCTATGTAAAGCTCTAAATCACAACAGTATGTATCACAGAGGACTTTACAAAACTGTCAATTCGCCGACACAGATCAGAGAATCAAACTTACACACCTGCATCGTATTCACCCGGACTTTAAAACCCCTATTTTTTAGGGCTTCACCAAATGGCTGGGATGCAGTTAGAGTTTTAAAAGTGCCTAAAACCAAGTGAGACGCCCCAAAGAGGTAGATTTCAGTTCCAAGCTTCAAGTAGATATCGACTCAAAATGGTTGAGGAGACTTTTATAAAGGGTTAATAAACTAAAACTAAACAAAACCAGCCGAACGATGCACTTGTGTCTGAAACGCTTACCTGAGCACGTCTCCCCGGCTGACCCCTCCCCACACGCCTGCTCCATTTTCCCTTTAGTAACACTCGAAGAGATGAGTTTTCTGCTTTGACTTTGTCTCCTGCTGTCTCGCCTCCGTCTCCCCACCTGTCCAAACGTCCATCCATCAACGCGAACAGCCCGAGATGAAGACAAAGCACCGGGTTCTAACCTCTCCACGCAGAGGACAGCACGCAAAAGAAAAAAAAACGCTATGGCTGCGAATATCTCTCAGCTCTGTCCCCATTAGCCCAACATTGCCTATATTTTAGCAATCATATTAACCTTGCCGGCCAACATCCCGGCATTTTTTATTACCCCCACCATGCTTGGATAATATTTTACCATTATATAGACTTTAGCCGTGATGCATCTGCTGCGGCTCAGTCCGACGCTACTGCCAAAGAAAGGGCCGGCGATCTTTGGGCACCGGTGGTAAATTACAGATGCTTTCTCTGGGAGGAAAAGGGGAAATGAAAAAAAAAGTTGGCAGAATGTGGGATGTAGCACAGAGTCTTCCTCCAGGGGCCAAGAAGAGATGTTAGTGGGAAAAGGAGAGAGAATGTGCTCAGGATATGAGGGAAGTATTGTTACTATGTTGTCTTGAGTTTCAAGAGATGGGAATTGATATATTGACATTATAATTATGAGTTACTGTATTTTAGTGAATGCAAAGGCCGATGGTTGCGTTGCCATGAATGGAGATGTCTGTAATGTTTACGTTGTTATGGATGTAAATATGCCACTAGTTTGGGTCTGTATGTGTGGTTTGAACCAGCTTTAACATACAGTATATGAATAAAATCTAGCTGATAAACATGAGGGAAGAAGAGTAATAATGCCTCCCATGTCCAACCAGGAAGTATAAACATGAAGTCAAATCTTAAATATATCAAACATACTCTAACAACATAGATTTGTACACACATGTTTTGAAAAGGGCCCAGGGCTAAAGGGGTGAAGTATTTTCATTCTTGCTTCGTCCATGTTATACGGAGCGGGACCCTGCTTTCTCCCATATTAACTCAGATAGTGCAAAAGCAAAGACAAATTGTGTGAAGACAAAGAGTGTTGTACATACTGTTCAACTTCCCTGGTCATGGTTGAAGGATGTCTATGTCTCTAATGAGATTTCCGGATTATTGCTCAAAGAGTCTTGGCTGTTTTTCCTCACAAGAAAACAAAAGGCAAACACACCTATTCCCTAATTTGCTCCTTTCGTCCAAAGGCTACATCACAGTCTTACACTCACAATGTACTCACAGCGTATCTTTGCAACACTTAGAATTGTGGCTCAGACAATTTGCTGAGATGCTTCTGTCCTCAGACCTGCAGCTCTGAGCAGGGGCGGAGCTGTGGAGGGAGCAGAAGGATGGAGCCCCATGTCCAAGAATACTATTGCTATTATTATTATGGCACGCTGAATTAGCTTAGGGCCTTACTCTAGTAGCAATAATAGTAATATTAGTAGTAGTAGTACTCGGTCTGTGCTGAAGTCCTCACTCCTCCACACACTTTTTCAATGCTTCCTTTTTGCGAAAAGTGGCTAAAACCAAGAAAGTAGATATAGCGACTCAAATGGTGATTGAAGCCAATAATTCCCTTTGGCTGACGTGTCCACAATTTGATACAGAAATCAGACAAAAAGATTCTCAAAGTTAACCTTTGAGAATCTTCATCTGCATTTAATTATCTTTACAATCAGATACAGAAATCAACAAAAGAGTGCTCCTAAAACTAATATGTCCCTCTCCTGGCCCTCGGCTGATCCTTCTGTGTCTCCCCAAGCCAGAGCATATATAAAGAACAGGAAGGAGGGGAGTGTCCTATCAGCCAGCTTCCGGTCTAGGGTCCAGCCTTTTCCTCCGTCTGCCAGACTCCTGATGGAGTGAGGTTGAAAAGTGCAGAAGTCAGCAGGCCAAGACTAGGGGGTTGAAATCCAAACAGGAGAATCTGTTGTCCAGTTGCTGGCACAAGAAGACACCTAAAATAAAATAAGAAGGACTGGCCTCCCACTTAGAGGTTAGCTAGGTCATAAAACACATGGTTTTAGAATGTCACGTATTTATAAATACAACATGATCTCCCAAATGGTTAAGGAAACCATTAAAGGGTTTCCGACCGTAGCTATATATCCAACGTTAATCCAACTGTATAATGTCTGTGTGGTGTTACTTACGCTCTTTCCCTTTACCAAAGAGAAACTTCTGTCTTGGTTGTATTTTCACAGTGTCCGTGTCGTGACTGTGGCTCTAATGATCTGCTTCTTTGGCGTCCCGCTGAGAGAGCAGACACCAAGTGCAATGAAGAAACCTGACACTTATTTATAATCTTTTGACCGATGTATTAAGCAACTTCTGCATTACACTATTCATGTAACATGGAACCAGTTTTTCTCAAATGTAAAAATGGAAAAGACAGGACCACCATTTATCTAACCAGGAAAGTCTCATTTCAAGATTTCTAAAGTCTGTTCTGGGCAGTCTGTTACCTTCACTCACACAGATAGTAAACATGTCCCTTCATTCTGGAATATTCCCAAAGGCCCTGAAAACTGCAGTCATCAGGCCCCTGCTAAAAAAGAGCAGTATCGATGCTACGGTACTTAACAACTACCGTCCCATCTCAAATCTGCCATTTATGGGGAAAGTCCTTGAGAAAGTTGTCTACCTACAGCTCACTAGATTTCTTATAATCAACAACTCATTTGATATGTTTCAGTCCGGCTTTAGACCCCACCACAGCACTGAGACTGCTCTCGTTAAGGTTACAAACGATATCCGGCTGAACACTGACGCAGGCAAAGTCTCAATCTTAATCTTGTTAGATCTGAGTGCTGCCTTTGACACTGTCGACCATGAGATCCTCTTACAGAGACTAGAGGACTGGGTTGGCGTCGCTGGCACCGCCCTAAGTTGGTTTAGGTCTTACCTTGAAGACAGGAAGTACTTTGTGGAGATTGGAAACTGTGTCTCAGATCATATGGCCCTGACCTGTGGAGTACCACAGGGGTCGATCCTGGGACCTCTTCTGTTCAATCTCTACATGCTGCCGTTAGGTCAGTTAATACGCAGAAACAAAGTGTCCTATCATAACTATGCAGACGACACTCAGATCTATGTCTCACTGACTGCAGGAGAACATGGACCAGTGGACTCACTCCTTCACTGTATCCAACAGATCAGTGAGTGGATGCAAAACAACTTCCTTCAGCTAAACGCAGACAAAACTGAAATGATTGTCTTTGGTCCAGAAACAAAGAGAGAGCGTCATCTGTCATCTACAGTCTCTCTCCCTAAAACCTTCAAACAAGGTCAGAAATCTAGGGGTAATACTGGACTCAGACTTAAATTTTAATAGCCACATCAAATCAGTAACATCAGCAGCTTTTTACCATCTAAAAAACATTGCCAGGATCAAAAACATAGTGTCTAAAGCAGACTTGGAGATTCTTATCCATGCATTTGTCTCCAGTAGGTTAGACTACTGCAATGGCCTGCTCACAGGTCTGTCCAAACAGGCTGTAAAACAGCTGCAGTACATTCAAAATGCAGCAGCTCCAGTCCTGACTAGAACCAGGAAGTACGACCACATTAGTCCTGACTAGAACCAGGAAGTACGACCACATTAGTCCAGTCCTCAGGTCTCTGCACTGGCTTCCTGTGGCTCAGAGAATAGACTTTAAAACAGCTCTGCTTGTTACAAGTCTCTCCATGGCCTCGCACCAAAATATATTAGTGACATGTTAGTCCCATATGAACCAGCCCGGACTCTGAGGAGCTTTTCAGATTCATGCTGCTAAAATCTGGAACAAATTTCCTAAAAATGTGAGACAGTACAGTGTAATGTTCTTAGATTATTTATGGTTATAATGCTATATTATTTTGTTCAGCACTTTGAGTTGCCCTGTGTAGGAATTGTGCTATATAAATAAACTTGCCTTGCCTATTTCAAGGGAGCAAAAGAGGCAGCAAAAGTTATAACATCAAATAACTGTTCATTATTGCACAAGCAGTGAGGTTGATTTAAGTGCTCGATCTGGACTTTAAAGCCTTCAATACTTCCTTTAGAATATTCAGGTATGCATAAATACAGTACACACACTTTTTCAATGTATTCATCAATATTTACGACAATCAAACATCTTTCATTTACTATTTACTTCAAAATAGACTCACTCATGACTCCACCGCTTGCTGCTAATTTTTCAAAACTAAACACCTAATTTCAGCTTCCTTTGCTCCGACACATTACTTATAGTGTAGGCGCTAATTACCCACTCGGTACATTCACGCCAAAATCAGGTGAGAACGCGATAAAAGTCTGTGAAACAATTAAGTCAACAAAGTGTGAGTTCCAGTCCTGGCTGCTCTCTCCCTCGACATATGGCTGCTCTCTTCATTATGTCCAACGCCACAACATTAATTTCTTGCTGCGATCTCAGTTTCCGTGACTCTGGCTGACCCCCCTTCGCAGATCGATACCTGGACTTGCACACTTTTATTTTTCGGCCTTAAAAAAGATTGGCGTCTGCAGCTCTGAGCCATAACCACGACCTGCGAAACTGAACAAATAAATAACATGGTGCAGAGAGAGAGAGAGAGAGAGAGAGAGAGAGAGAGAGAGAGAGAGAGAGAGAGAGAGAGAGAGAGAGAGAGAGAGAGAGAGAGAGAGAGAGAGAGAGAGAGAGAGAGAGAGAGAGAGAGAGAGAGAGAGAGAGAGAGAGAGAGAGAGAGAGAGAGAGAGAGAGAGAGAGAGAGAGAGAGAGAGAGAGGCCCTGGGCGCTTAACCTTTTTTTCTCCCAATGGAGTTTGCGTCCGTGGTTTGGGGGGAAAGGGAGGAAATGAGTTTGAGCCTGGACCAGTCGGTTAAAACACATTGGGTTAGAGTTGTTTGTGAGAGATTTGGGGATGTCGGAGAAAAGACAGGGTGAGGTTTATAGGGCAAAGTGGCAAGAAGTAACTTTAGTGTTGGCCAAGAGGAATCATAAAAGTAAACACAGTGCTGTATTTCACCTAAGGACACACTAC